CATATTGATAATCCCAATCGAACATTTGCCCAATACTCTGGTTTTATCCCCTGAGGTTGAATCAGAGCTCAGTAGATACCAAAATGGTCTGAGAAATTGCTATAAAAGCCAAGGAAATGATGCAGTTTTCTTTGAATTGGTCTCTAAACGTGTTTCTCATGCTAACCTCCAAGTAAGAAAAGTTCCTATTGCACATTTGGTAGATCTTTTGAATTTAGAGTTGCTTACAATATTTTTATTTTTTTACCAATCTCTATAGGTTGTTCCGGTTCCATCATCCAGAGCTCGTCTTCTTCCTAATATCTTTAGTCTGGCTGCTGAAAAACTGGGCTTCAAGCTTGTGACGAAAAAGTGTAAGCTGAATTATCTGTTTTTTCCCTTCTCTGTCTTATTGAATCAATGGACCCTATCTTCACAGATTATATCTACGTTCTTCCCCTAGCATTTTGAGTTACCTTTTTATTAAATTATGTTGTCTTTATTGCAGTTAGTGATAGTTCTGATGGCAGAAAGTATCTGCAGAAGGAATACAATGCAGCTTTGGGGCTCTTCTATGTGGAACTTCCTGATGGAACGGTGTTATCACACACCCTGGAAGAGAACGAAGTATTCCCTGCACAATTTGGACGGGAGGTAAGACAATTCATGAATGGATTGCGACTTTGCTATTATACTACTAAAGAAAGATGCCATTGATAACACAATGTTCATATGCATGAAGAGTCAAACATTAAGTTCTATTTAATACAGAGTGATCATCCAAAAAAGAACTTTCATGCTAAGACCATAATATATGAAGTTTTGGATTCAGATAGATAGATAACATCTGATCCACTTTAACATTTTTGAGATCCCGAAGGTGTGTTTTGTTGCTTAGAAAATGACATTGGATTTTACAGGTTCTAGCAGGGTTGCTAAAGATCCCAGATAGGGCCGATTGGAGAAACTGTAAAATTAGCCAAGAAGAGGAGGCAAAGCTGGCTGAGGATTTCAAGAAACAATTTCAAGAATTTGACCCTTGCCAATAACATTACTGAACAAAAGATACGATCATATACTATCTTGTGGGTATCAATCATATGCTAAACTCAGTGTCCAGTACACTCAGGTATTGTGTTTCTGTTCCAGTTTAATACCAAATTTCTACTATCTTTTGATGATAATGTTTTCTTCTAATCACCTTTAGACTTAATATTTTCTCTAGGTCAGAAGCTGAAGCTGAATCATGCGACACATCGTCATAGAAACCTTCGTTTGTCTCCCTCCATCTTTAGAAATAGGTTCATGGTCAGTTAAAAGCTAACAGTCTTCCATCTGTTACCTTACTATTTTGCTTGTTGCTTCTCTTTTTCTTCTAGTAAACACTTTCTTTGATATATTATTGTTTGTTGAGATGTAAGAGAGTGATCATCACAGAAACACACAAGAGTCATGGTAGAATTTGCTTCACCTGTTTTCACCTAAACTACTGACTTCTTGTTGGTTGGTAATAATGTACCTTTTTTTTTTCCTTTGCAGTAATTATTAATTTCAATCAATTCTAGCCAAGACATACTTTAATTCTAGAATGGTTCACTGTAATAAACCAAAAAATCCAGGCAGTAGTTACAGCATCAATCTTTGATCACTTGATGAAATCCACTTTTGTCAAAACAGTGAGAGTAAAGCTGGTTTTAGTGAATCAGATTCAACTCTCTGGCATTTGAAAGATGGTTACCTTGAGAATGTGGTTATTAACACATGGTAAAAAAAAAGAGAGAAACAATCATCTCTTCATCTTTAAGGTTAACTTAAGCTTTCTTTTGTTGCTGTTGTTGCAGCTTTAGCAAAAGAGTAAAGGAAACAAAAGACTCCATCATCAACAAGGGTTTATAGATTCTGTCTATGCCTCTGCACATGGCTCTTTACCTTCTCATTTCCTTTAATGTGAAAGTGAATTTTGATGGTCCCATATATTAGGTCTCTATAAATGCATCAACTACCCTCTAATTTTCTAGTAATTTAGGCTAATTTGCATACTTTCTAGATTACTTTTCCCATTTTCTGGTGTTTTCCTTATTTTGGAAAATCTGAATATTATTAATTAAAATTGGCATTGGTACAGTACCAACTGGACTTAGTCGGATCCACTTCAGAAATCAGAGAGGAATATTTATTAATTTCGGTGGGTATATAGTGTAAATTAATTGTCACGATGCTCGACAAGGTTTTTTGGACCATATAACGAAAAATTCGGAAGATCTCATTATATAGGGAGGCTATATTATCTAATCTAGTAGTAGTTAGAATTATTAGATTAGTACATATTTTGACCACTTTAGATATTTGACATTATATAACTTAATCAAATTCAGTTTTTATTCATTAATTTTGGTTTAGGTATGGCGATTTTCCATTTTTTTGGTTCGGCTAAATGTTGTTCTTCCACCTAATTATATTGGACTTTAATATTATATGATTCAAAGAATATATATAATAAGATTTGTTTGAATAGTAGTGAAGAAACAAAGAGAGCTAACGTCGTTGTCCGTGATCACTTCTTACAGTTAAACGACAAAAAGCCAAACACAAATCTGGTCGTATTGATCGTTGTTTATGTCCCTACACATACGACACCGAATTACGATCTGCAATTCTCGCCACTCCTTTCTCGTATTTTTATTTTAGTTGTGTCTATAAGTTTTCTTGGATATTTGTCGGTGCTTGCATTGAAAACGGATTTTTGTTATTTAATTTTTGTTTTGTATTAATGTGAAAAATCAAATGTGTCAATTAGAGTTTAATTTTGTTTTATTTAGACTTTTAAAGATCAAAGCTAAAAGTCATTAATTAGTGACAACATAACTGATTCTTACACCACGTGTTTTTTTAACGTTTTTTATTTATTTTTTTGGGTGAATTAATTCTTACTAAAGAGCTGGTGTTTCCTTGTCTTTACGCTGCTGTATGAATAAAATATTGTGATTAATATATATATATATATATATATATATATATATATATAATCTACACATCACCATTTTGCGTATGTAATAAATCAAGATTTGACTTATGCAAACTTAATAATACAGTTTAACTATGTCATTTTCTGTTTGAAGTTGAATTTCACTATACCTAATCATTTTACAGTGATTCTGGTTGGAACTACCGTATGATTATGGACTCACATTTTCTTAAGCGATTAATACTATAATTTTTGACATTTTTTAAATGACGTTTCCGAATTTGATTTTTCATGTTTAAGATAATTTCTTTTCAAAATATATTACCGAAAATGCTATACCGAGAGTGAGCCGAATCGTGGGAATATGAGCAATAAGATGAAGACAAGTTTGTTATTTTAACTAATAGTATAAATTTGTAACCACTATATACTTGTTTTATTTTTTTTTTATTTTTTATTTTTTATTTTTATTTTTTTTATTATTGTTTTATTTTTTTTGTTCATCAGTTTTTATTCCATTTTACTAACTGGAGCAGTGGGAAATGTATAAGCAATACACTACAGATTGCCTATAAAAGTCATATCTTTTTCTGGTATAAGGGCAATTTTAAATATTAATACATGAAGGAGCGTCTTTGTAATCTATTTCCGGGAGGTCTTCATCCACTATGGAAAAACTAAAATAATAGTATGATGAGTACACTTTTCTTCTTGGTCAACATGTGATCAATTTACTTGTGGACTTAATCTTCGACATGTATTTGTAGTTTAAATCTTCACATTCGACTTATGATTGATCTAAGTAGAGGGAAACATATATACAAGATGTTACGTCGGTGCTATTGTTGTGTCTATCAATTAAAGTGAATTGTTGCTATCGGTTTCACAACTCAAGATTTTTATCCATCCTTTTTACTTGATTTTATAAAGCAAACAAAGTAAGATATGAAAACAACGTTGTGATTCTTGTGAATGGAATATACGAAACTTTCTCTAAAACCTATAGGGATTGATTGTGTTACTTTGGATATGAAGGAAACATACATATACATATATGATGGTACGTTTTGGTTATGGTAATAAGATAAACAATAAATCGGTTTCAAAACCTAATCCAAACTAAGTTTTTTTTTTTTTTTTTTTTTTTTTTTGGTGAAGGTTGGATTAACAGGGGTATATAGGATGGGGTTAATTTGTCTCCTCATTGGATTCCTTTTTCTTCATATTCAACAAAATTCACAATACAAAACAAATTTCAATCGATTCCACTACTTATTATCTTTGACTGTGGAGATTAATCATTATGAATAACTTAGACTTCATATAGTAGAGATATGGACAAACAAAAATTTAGAAGGTAGTAACGCGAGGAGGATTGAAAATTGTAAAAGTTTAGTCATGTATAGACTCTATAGTTTAAGGTATTTTTCATAATATTAATAAGTTTAATACTTTTTCCAATCAAAATTTTTAAATATTTTCTTGTTCTCATTCTTCTGCGTCTTCTGGTACTACCAAATGAATCTTGAAAAATCTTTTTCCAATTTGGATATGCTTCCAAGTGTTTGGTTATAATTTCAATCGGAGACAAGTTCTACTGTTTGGAACCATGTCCTACATATATAAAAGAAAAATGATTTTACACGATATAAATTGATAATTTACAGGAATATGCAAAAGATATCTCTATATATAATATACAGACTTTAACAAAAAAAAATATACAACATATATTGTATGTTGTTATGTTTTCAAAAAGTGACAAATAAGTATCTTTAAAGTGGGTTTATCTCCTTGACTTGATATTAATAAACAAATTCCCAAAATAAAAACGGTAGTTGGTTAATCAATCTTAAAGATTCAGCCGAAAAAATAATTCTTAATTCCCTTAATAATAGATTTTTGTTTTGTCTCTCACCACAATTATATAGATTTTAAACGTATAATATTTATAGTTTATAGTTTTGTGTATTGGAAAACGCTTTTTCAAATATTGTCAAACCAATGAATTAAACATAACCCTTAAAGAATTTTAAATTAAACTCACTTCTTCAACCCCAAATGGAGAAAAAAGGTCAATAATAAACAAATGGATTCTAAAACCCCACTAGGCTTCTCTCAGACAAAACACACACACACTAGTTTCCTCCATTGACACTATCCCACTACCTTCAAAATCCCACCTTTTTCTGTTAAATCAAATCTCTATCTCTCTCTTGATCTCTCTTGACCAATTGAGAGTAGAAGAAAACGTTTTTGTTGAAACATGAAGATGAAAGATTAATTGCACATAGAGACCCCTTTTGATTACTACCGTTCTCTTCCACCAAACTCGTTTCTGTCTTTAATTTCCTTTTTTTTTTTTTTTTGTGTGAGCATTAAAATCTCACAAAAAGAAAAAAAAATCATTCCTTTGCTTCTTTCTCACTGTTCCTTTGTTTCTTATTATTCTTCTTCTTGCGTTTTAAGTCATTTCTCTTCTTCTGCCACTTCGATTGCTTTAAACTTGGAGCTTAAGATTACACATCAATTCTTCTTTGTCTTCCTCGTGATCATCGAGGAAGCTTGATCTCTTCTATGGAATGGAGATTTTGATTCTCCTCCTTTGGATCTGTCTTCTTTCGTCGGTTTTAGTTGTTGGTTCTTCTTCCTCTGGTAAGTTTTAGTTTTATTTGCCCTAAAACAAAGCGATTATTTGTTTTCACTTTTTCGATAATTGGGATTAGATTAGACCCATATGGATCAATTTGGTAAATTTGCAATCTTTTTTTGTACTCTCAACAATGAGCTTTTCTTTTTTATAACTAGTGATGAAAAAAAGGAAACTTTATCACAAATACAATGCGATTTTATAATGTGATTGTTTTTTTAATGATTTCGTGTAAACTAATATTGAGTCAAAATTCAACTACCAGCTTTTGTTGATTTAATTGGAAAATTCTGATTTCAAAGATCTTAAATTCGTTTATGATTTTGTGTGTTTTTTTTTTTTATTATTTAATTTTCTAATTCAGGATTGGATTTGTTACCTCCGTTATCATCACCACCGTCTCCACTACCGGAAACTCCAAAAGGGTTTGGTCAAGCACCGAGTAATTCACCTGAATCCGGCAATGTGCCGCCGTCTAAAGCTTCTCAACCGTCTCTTCCTCCTTTAGCTGATGTGGCAGCTCCACCGCCGTCAGATTCCGCCGGAGGTAATGCACCGGCCGGTGAGCCTATTGTCTTGGTTCCTAATGCTCCAGGTAACTTGGATTGGATTGAAAATGTTGATTCTCTTCTCAGACAATTGATCGAACACTTGGCAGGCACTTGGAACCACTAGAAATTGTGTATTGAATTCAATTTTTATGGGTTTTTGATTCATTCTTCAGCTCCAGCAGCAATACCCGTGAAGGATTTGCCCGGAACTTCGCCTCCGGTTCAACCCATTACACCGGTTGCTTCACCACCTCCATTCGTTCCAGGAGATGCACCAAAGGAGCCTCCTTTCTCAGGAAGAGTTACTCCGGGTATGTGTTTATACTAGCAATTGAAATCTTGAATCTTTAGCTTGCAATGTTCTCTGGTCTTTAACTTGAATCTTGAATCTTGAAACTTTAGCATAAATCTTGAGTCTATAACTTGCAATGTCGTCTAATCCGCAGGCCCAATTTCATCCCCTGTTTCGGATATTCCTCCAATTCCATCAGTGGCTCTATCTCCGCCTACACCGAGCATTGTACCTCATAGAAATGCCTCTAACAATCACAAGCCTCCTATCGAAAAGCCTAGTGCTCCTGGTATTGTACCATGTTTTGCTCCCCCCTACTTGGTTTACGTTTCAATTGCTTACGCTTTTTTTATGGCATAAACTTATTCGTGGTCTCTGAATCTCTGAACCAGTTGCATCTCCACCAACGATATCTATTGACATTTCACAGCCAGTCCATCCCGTCATACCCAAGTTAACACCCTCTAGTTCACCTGGTATGCGGTTGCGGAACTACTTATTCTGTTTTTATTTTCCCACATTGTTACGAAAATGTCTCTGTTTAGCCTCTGATTATCTCTCTCAAACCGTGCAGTACCCACCTCGACTCCAACTAAGGGATCTCCGAGAAGAAATCCGCCAACTACGCACCCAGTATTCCCCATAGAATCTCCTGCCGTCTCACCAGGTTTGCTAAACTTTTGAATGTGTTTATCCGTAAGAAAACCGTATCCAGAATATCAACATTTCCTCTTCTTTTCTAGATCCTGCTGCAAATCCAGTAAAACATCCACCACCCAGTGAGAATGGAGATGATAACAAAAGTCCGGGTGCTGCACCCTCAAATGAAACTGCTAAACCCTTACCTGTCTTCCCACATAAAGGTTAGATATTTTAGGCATCAATCATATATAAGTTACTGTTATTTCCGGTATCAAGAATACAAGGAGACTAAATTCATGTTATTATTACATTGCAGCTCCTCCTCCTTCGATAGCTCCCTCAGCCCCAAAATTCAACAGACACTCACATCATACATCTCCATCTACTACTCCACCGCCAGATTCTACTCCGAGTAATGTACACCGCCATCCTTCATCATCATCTCCTCCTCCTCCTCTATCTTCACACCATCAACATCATCAAGAACGAAAGAAAATCACAAATAGTCCAGCTCCTTCGTCACCACCACCGCACCTCATATCTCCAAAGAAGTCAAACCGTAAAGGTTTCCACTTTACCATAGCCTTTAAGATACTTAGATTGGCCAGCATCACACTTCTCGTGTTCTAATTCTCTCTCTCTTTTTCCTATGTTTTGTTGTTATAGGTTTAATGACTCCTCCTCCATCATCACATTATGCTCCTTCTCCTCCCATTCCTGCTTCTTTGATTTCTCCTGCTCACGCTCCAATCCCTTCCACTATGCAACGCATCTCCCCGGCTCCATCACCTTCTCCAACCCAAGGTTTGATTCCGCTTATAATTTTTCCAACAACAAATTGGCAAATTTAAAAAAGAAATTAACCTCTTTGCTTGATGTGAAATCCTAAATTATGTTTATTTCTCCTAAAGTGTTTCCTCTCAGGTCCTCTTCAAGACCTTCAAAATCTCGGAAATTCCCACTCGGTCCACCGCTTCAAGCATTTCCCCCTCCTCCCCCTAATTCAGGTTTTTAGAGATTTGTATTCGGTTACTTTTTGGGAACAAAACTGTCTTTTTCGGGTCCTTTTTTCGATGTGAACCCAGTTTCTGTTGTTGTGTTCTGCAGATTGTACTTCAACTATTTGCTTGGAACCGTACACAAACACACCTCCAGGATCTCCATGTGGCTGTGTCTGGCCAATTCAGGTTGAGCTACGGCTTAGCATGGCGCTCTACGACTTCTTCCCAATGGTTTCAGAATTTGCTCGAGAAATCAGCGCGGGGGTTTTCATGAAACAGAGCCAAGTCCGTATAATGGGAGCTAACGCGGCTAGCGAACAACCTGACAAATCCATTGTTCTTATCGATTTAGTCCCGCTTGGTGATAAATTTGATAACTTGACCGCAATGGTGACTTATCAGAGATTCTGGAGTAAAAATGTCTATATAGATGAACCAATCTTTGGCGGATACGATGTGATTTACGTGCGTTATCCTGGTTTACCGGCTTCCCCGCCAACTTCCGGTATGACCATTATAGATCCAGGGCCATACTCTGGTAATAATAACGGAAGGGCAATCAAACCACTCGGAGTTGATGTTCCAAAGAAGCCGCACAAGAAAGATCTCAATGCTGGAAGTATTGCTGTGATTGTTTTATCGGCAGCTGCTTTTATCGGTTTATGTTTCATTATTGTTTGGTTCTTGGTTTTCCGGCGACAAAGAGATCGACGGCGTCTTTCTAAAAGAGCACCACTTGCTCGCCCTTCACTGCCTTCCCTCTCGAAACCATCAGGTAAAAAAAGTTACTTTACTGCCTAATCTAGTTTTCACTTCGGTTTATAAGACAGAAAATCAAATAGGAATTGAATGGCATTTGGTTCGATTTGATACAGTTTAGGTTTCAGTTTATGTCTTTAATTTGAAAGTTTGCAAAGACATTAAGATGTTAATCGATTTATTCATCTTCTGTTTGAATTTGATTTTTCAAAATATGTATGTTAAAGGTGAAGAGATTTCAAAGAAATTGTGATTTTAACTGGTTTGTTTCATTTTCAGCGTGGTTTGGTTATGGTTTATTCGGATATATGGGAAAACAAACTCGAAAAGGTTTAATTTTCTTTGGTTCGGTTTTCGATTGCTGAACCAGATTAAGCACCTCTGGTACTAGTTACTACTACTGTTGCTGTTGGAAAAAACAGGACGTAACTAAGCTGAATTTGCAGGCTCGGCGAGATCTTTAACTGGAAGCCGGTTTAGCTCAACTTCGTTGTCATTTGAATCCAGCATTGCTCCGTTTACTCTCTCTGCAAAGACATTCACCGCAAGCGAAATAATGAAAGCTACTAATAACTTTGATGAATCGAGGGTTCTTGGTGAAGGCGGATTTGGACGAGTTTATGAAGGTGTTTTCGATGACGGAACTAAAGTAGCAGTTAAGGTATTGAAGAGAGATGACCAGCAGGGTAGCCGAGAGTTCTTGGCCGAAGTGGAAATGCTTAGTCGTCTTCATCACAGAAACCTCGTGAATTTAATTGGTATTTGTATCGAAGATCGTAACCGTTCCCTGGTTTATGAACTCATACCAAATGGCAGCGTTGAATCTCACCTCCACGGTATGTTTTCCAGACCTTAAATACCCCAATCTGTTCTTTGGTTTTCAGATTGTTTTAGGTTATAGAATATCAAATATCAAAAAGTGAATGGAATCTGAATATCGTCCGGTTTGGTTGGATTTGTTTTTTTTCGGTTACTGTTTGTTTGGTTGGATATGGAAAAAATGAAATCGAATTAGTTGATTTCATTGTAGTTTGGGTATTTCGATTGATATGGTTTTGGTTCCATTCAGTTTGCTTATCTTTGAAATCAATCTCTTGTTTTCTTCCTGTTTATTCAGGAATCGATAAAGAATCTTCGCCTTTAGATTGGGATGCTCGGTTGAAGATAGCTCTTGGTGCGGCCCGTGGTTTAGCGTATTTACATGAAGACTCAAGTCCGCGAGTTATACACAGAGACTTCAAGTCCAGCAACATCTTGCTTGAAAACGATTTCACACCTAAAGTCTCTGACTTTGGATTGGCTCGTAATGCCCTTGATGATGAAGATAACAGACATATATCAACACGCGTTATGGGAACTTTTGGGTAAGATAACAAAACCATATTCAAAACAAACCGCTTCAATTTTCTGTTCCGGATTAACTGATAATGTTATGTGTTTTTTATAGGTATGTGGCGCCGGAATATGCAATGACGGGGCATCTTTTGGTGAAGAGTGATGTGTATAGCTACGGAGTTGTGCTTCTCGAGCTACTTACAGGGCGGAAACCAGTGGATATGTCTCAACCACCCGGACAGGAGAACTTAGTTTCATGGACTCGGTCTTTTCTTACGAGCACAGAAGGGCTTGCAGCTATTATAGATCAGTCTTTAGGACCCGAGATCTCATTCGATAGCATAGCTAAAGTCGCGGCGATAGCTTCGATGTGCGTTCAACCGGAAGTATCACACCGTCCTTTCATGGGAGAAGTAGTGCAAGCTTTGAAACTTGTCAGCAACGAATGCGATGAAGCTAAAGAACTCAACTCTGCAACTTCAATCACTCAAGACGATTTTAGAGATGACACTCGAGCTGAGAGCTCTTGTGGTGAAGGCTCAGCGAGGATGGCGCGGTATCCATTGCTACCGAATTACGACTCTGAGCCTGACACAGAGAGAGGACTATCTACATCGGAAATGTACTCGGGGTCAGGGAGGTTCGAGAGACAGTCTAACTCGGGTCCCTTGACCTCAGGTCGAGGCAAGAGGTTCTGGCAAAAGATGAGGAGATTATCAACCGGAAGCTTGAGCGAGCATGGAACACCAACGGTGATGTTACGATCCGGTTCTCGTTGAACATTGGAGTCTTTAATAGCCCGTTTAAGTTAAAAGAAAGCAGGTGCCTTGTCCTACAAGCAACTCTTTGCCTCATGGAAACCGGTTAAGGGAAAACCGGGAGAGATCATCATTCCCGGTTCAACAATTAGTTGAATAGATCTTTGTATCTTAGAAGAAACAAGAGATTCTGTTTAATCTAATTTGAATGTACATATCAAGTTTCAAAGTAAGAGAGGCTTAAGCATTAAGCATCATTCTTCACAATTCCGATTGGAACAAACAAAATTGGTTTTAAAAATCCCTAACTCTAAGCAGACGAAATGGTAAATGGCTTTAGGCCTATAACTATAAGCCCACTCATATTCTGATTGGTAACGTTTGGACCAATGGAATCATAAAAGTTGTGTTCATCGATGAATATAATAAATTGTGCTAAGAAAAAAGAATAATTGGGAAGAGAGAGTCAGCGTCGCATCGCTGCAAGGAAGAAAACTGTACAGTGACCAAACAGATGGCACGTCCCTGTAAATTTCAATATCAATTCGAAACCAATTAAAGTCTTTTCACATCACTAAATTTTGTCTATTCATTTTTTCTTTTGCTATGAGAGAGAGAACATTAAAGAAAAATATCCACCCACTTTTGATTTTATCAAGGAAAAATCCAACCATTGTATTGAAAATTACTCACCGACCAGCTTCCTAATTTTAGTAACTCTCATTAACTTTTCCCATACCTTTTTCTGTATTTTATTTTCTTCTTTACACTATAGAAAACAAAATCAGATTATTATGAATTTCGAAATGGTTATTTACTTTTCATCACAAGTTATAATGTTATATGTATTATGATAAGACACTTGTTCCTTTGTTTTTAATTTTTCTTGGTGAAACTTAACTATAATTATATTATTAAAACGTGTAACATATTTTCAACAAAAAAGACAGCTGATCATTTATTTGATTTGAACTTTATAATTTCCATCATTCGGACCCACTTACAGACTCAATTCACTGTATTTATAGATATTAATATATTATCATAAAAATGTTATAATTTCTATATATACACTTAACTCTACTATATATAAATGTGTAAGAAGAAAATCACAACAATAATATTGTACGGTCTCTCTTTTTTTTTTTTTGATTCTTCTTCCTCTCTTGAGTTGAGAGAAAATGGAAGAAATGAGGAAGAAAGAAGATGAGAAGGCGGCGAAGGAAGTGACTACGACGACGACGATCGTCGCCGGAGAGGACGACGAGTATACGCCTGATGAAATCATGAAGCTCGTTGAGTCTTCTTCACCGACAATGACGACGACGGATATCGAAGGAACTAACTTTTCCGGCGAGGGGGGTTTCAAAGTGAGGTTTATCGACGATCCGTACGCGGTTCCGGTGGTTGTTCAGTCATCTTCCGGTTACATCACGATCAATGTCAACGAAGAGAGCTGTGGTCCGTCGTTTTCAGACAGCGACTCTTCCGTCATGGCAAGCGTCGACGCAAGTGGGTTATTCGGTTGCTGTTTCGAATACGGAGGAGAGAAAGGCGGCGCGTGGAGTACAAACGAGGTGAGAGCGAGTGAGTATGAGTGGAACGACGATATGTTGGCGAGGTTTCTAGGTGAAGACTGTGTTTGACCGTTTTGTCGTATTTTGGAGAAAGCATTATATTAGGGGTAGTTTCGTCATTTTGATGGACGGTAATTATGGGAGAAAAGTGAAAATGATTTACACGTTGTTAATAGGAGGAAGAAAAATGGAAAAATCAGTAAATGGTAGTAGTAGTAGAGTAGGGCTAGTTAGTAGTTAAGTGGTTTTAATGTGACCATTTTGGTAATTTCGTCACATTGCGGTACTAATTCCTCAAATAGGGTTTTATTTAGGGTCTATTTTGTAAATATGAAACTATTAAACCCCTAAGTAAAGTGAATGCTTTATTCACAAATCAATCCCTATCATTTTACGTGTTATCATCATTGTTTAATGTATATGGATATTAAATTGGGCCTAGTTGAAGGCCCAATATCCATAAAGATTGTAAGATCAAGATGTAAAAAGGTTTGAACTTCAGGAGATGATTGAAGCAATCATAAGATTGAACAAAGAGAAAATCTTATAGTGAATCAAAACACTCATTGGTATTATATTCTGTGAATTTTATTTAGTAATATACATATACATGTTGTATAGTTCTTGAAATAACTACACAAATTCATTTTAAAAAAAAAATTCCAGCTCTGTCTCTATCTTCAAAGCAAAGCCAGAGAGAGATATAGACAAACAAATCAAACAGCTTGCTTCTGTCCTGAAAACTCGGAACCAGAAGAAGCTTTTATGTTCTTTTCACCAATGAGATTCCATTAGGATCACCACCCCACTCTTCAAACACAACTATAAGATTCTGAGACTTAAGCCATGAACGAGGTACATGGTACCATCTTTGTGAAGCTTCACCACAATTACTTAAACATTTCTTTGCGTTGAAAGTTCCAGCGTAGTTACAACGTCCACAAGATCCTTGAGCCTTATATGCTGGCCAATGACGTCCAATGTTTCTACCATTTATCCAAACTTGACCTTTTCCCATTGTGTTCATGTCTAAAGCTAATGGTTCATTGCCTGCTGGTGTAGCAAAAGTAGACTGCAACAAATAAAAAGAATGGTTTTTTCAGTTTGTTCATTGTGTCTAAGTTTGTTTATAGACATTAGTTTAATCCTTGTGTGTTCTCTTACCTTGTACCAGGTTAATGGTTGCTTCTTGGCCACAAATGATCCTTGAGTCCATCTCACACCGGAACTCTCGGTATCGGTATGAAGACTCAAAGCTTCACCCTTTACACCAATCTGTTCAAATCAAATTTAAATCCATTGTTATGATTGTGTTCTTGTTACTAGAAAACTTAAAGTTAAAGTGGTTTTGAATTTCAGTGGAGGACCTTATAGGACCATTTCCATTTCGACATGTCCCATGTTCCGGAGTTAACTCCCTTCAACGTGACCGGACCAAGAACTCCTTTGTTCCACTGTTCAAAATGTGTACCGACGTTCTACAAACAAACCAAGAACCACGAAGTTTAGAACCTGTTTATCTAAAAAGATTGCTTTTAAAGATCCATCAGGAACTCACCGGGAGACCCACTGCAACACTCAAAAGAGCAAGCTTGTTGACACCAGCATGTAGTTTGATCTTCTGGGTAAAGGTTAGTTTTGGGTGGTCAAGTCCTCCATAAGCAGTTCCTGAAACAGAGAAATACCAACAATGTTTTCAAGTTACAAGACTAAAACAACACAGAGACTAGACAAGCTTCCATTGTTTCTCTTATATTACCTGAAAGCTGCCCATTGACAAACACATGAAGAGCATGTCCAGCTGACATAACAGTAAAAAGAGGGAAATCACCAGTCTTCAAAAATGTCTCACCGGAACCAATTGTAATGCTGAGTAAAATACCCGTAAATTACTAACTGTGAGGATCTTTTCGAAGATTGAGACAAAAACAAAGAGAGTTTTAATGTTCTTATACTTACTCTGTTAGATACCAGAAGTAGTCAGATTTGTCCCAAGTCATGCTTATCTGTTCCACAAGTCCGTTTCTTGCAAACGTACCAGCTTCATTCGCAGTAGGAGTCGCTTCGTTGAATGATCCCCAAGAGAATCTGGCACCAGTAGGAACCATATTCCTGTGTACGCTTGGTGCATTAACCTGTTTATTCAAAAACACAGAGGATCAATTCAATCTAAAGATCAAGAAGGTAGCTTTCTTGACAAAGAAGTTTCTTGTTCTGTCTTACCTTTGCAGTGTTGTAAAACTCTGTTTTGCAATCAGGTAAAATACTGACTGACCAAGGAGGCAAAACATATGGGAATCCACGGAACATAACTCTCGCTGCAGAACTCTCATCTTTGTTCGATAAAAACGCGGCGCAAGATGATTTAGACCAGAACACATAAGCCTGAAAGAAACATTCAAAATCATGAGGTTTCTTTCTCATTTAAAATCTAAACATAAGTAAGTTAAAAAAAAAAGCTTTGATCGTTACTTCTTGTTTAGCTCCAAGCGATGTGACCGTAGCATCAGCAGAAAGCAAAGCTGGCTCACTAAGTTTGATGACTTTATGCAATGCTTTCAAGTGACTATACTTTGGTTCTCTTGGTAAACCTTTTTGAAATAAAAAGAATCAGGTTAGCTAATCATTAAGACATATTTATTATATGTTTTTGAGTTTGGTTTAGTACCGTATTCATCGAGAGGAGCGTCATAGTCATAGCTTGAAGCCATGAACTCACCGGCTGTTCTGTCAAAATTTGTTCCTCCATGATACTATAAGAAGGTATATAAACACACATTAAGCCAAAAAAATGAAAAATCTATGCGCATTCATATATAACTCGGTATTATTTTGCTTACCATATAGTAATTGACGAAGGAACCTCCTTTTTGTATGAATCGTGCAACGGAATATGCAATATCTTCGACTGGTCTGTATGGTACAGCACCTCCAAACTCTGTGTACCTGAGATTTGATTTACAGATTTCAAACAGTGGTTTTCTTGTTTTGGAAGTTAATGAAAATTGATCTTTCACAATCTATGATTTGTATTAATTTGAATAATAATTTGATTTTCTAGGCATGTTGATGTTGTGACTTACCAACCAGTCCAATTCTCTGTCCACATCTTTGGCTTGTTGCTTGAGTTTGGTTTGAAATCTTCGCAGTAATAACCATTGCATGTGTCTATCTGTAATTTGCATTTATTTACAAAAACCATAATCCATAAGTGAAAATAATATAAAGAGAGAAAAAGAGAGAAACTAAAGAGAGTTCAACATAGTTGAAAATAAAAAAAAAACAGAGAGTTCAACATAGAATAGTCAAAATCTAACCAATCTAGAGACGTAACTGATCCAAGTTTTGGTTTATATGATTATATTTTATACCGAAAATCCAAATTTGAAATCAAACCAAGTAACCCACAAGAACAAAAGCCTCAAACCATTTTTTTAAACCCGAGTCAATGGTTATCAAAGAAAAACCCGAAAATCATACCGGTTTGGTACTTATACGATCAAGTAGTACTCGAACATAATTTTCTGTAGCAAAACAAAATCTTTTGTGTTGTAAGTTTAGCCAAAAAAGAAAGAACGTACGATAGGAGAAGGAGCATCTTCTTGCTTGCACATAATCCATGGAACACCAGTGGAGAGTCCTAATGCCATTTGAGCTACCCATTTTGTATAAGCCTTTCCTGGTGCTCCTATTTCCCATTCCACTGGTCCATATTCATTCTCAATCTGTCCATTTTTTTTTTTCATATTTTACATGATTAATTTTAAAAAAAAATTAATTTGAGCCATATATCTTTAATCATTGGTTAATGATATTTAATGTAACAAACAACAACAAACCTGTGCAAGAATGATGGGTCCTCCTTGAGTTTGAAACAACTTTTCTGCTTTCATCATCCATACAATCTTTTCAGTAAATTTCTTCATTGCAGCCTTTTCAATATCAATTATAAATTAACAACAATCATCCAATCAGAAGAAAACAAATTAATATATGAGAGGGCAAAAGTGAGTTTTGTTTGAGAGTTTCAAACCTTGAAAGGTTCATTATCCGTCCTAAAAGCCATACCGGGAACAAATTTAAGCCAAACCGGAAATCCCCTAAAAAAACATATAAAATATTAAATTTGATAACCAATCATTTTTAAAAAAGAGAGGGAATTAGTGTGTTTATATTTATTTACCCAAAGTTCCATTCAGCACAAACATAAGGGCCAATCCTGAGATTAACATAGAGACCAGCTTGGTGCACCAACTTGATGAACTTAACCAAATCATACCTGTCTCCAAAATAATACTGAGAATAATAAAAACAAAATTTAGAAGACATGTGACTTGTGAGAGACGAAAATTAAACAATAAAACATTTTAATGGATATTTTTTTTTTATTGAAAATTACTTGTCCAGGAGAAGGTTCATGGCCATTCCAAAAAACATAAGTCTCAATAACATCCAAGCCTCCTTCTTTGGCTTTCTGTATAAGGCCAGGCCACATCTACATATAAAACAGAGCATTCAATGCATCATTTAATTTCTTTTAATTTAAAACACTTTTTTCAACAAAAAACAATTTTTTTGAATATATTATGTAGATAATAAGCAAAACCCATGTGAAGGAAAAAATCTTAGAAATGAAACACATTGCAGAAAATCAAATTCCGAAAACAGAGAGATAAAAGAAAACTATAATCAGAAGTTACGAAAATCCATTGAAAGTGAAATTATCAAAATTAGATTCTATAGAAACACTGAATTATAATAAATGTGAATAAAGATGATTACCTCAGGGGTGCTTCGTGGATAGTGAATGGAACCAGAGAGAAGGATTCTTCTTTGTCCATTGATGATCACAGCTTTACGATCATAAGAGACTGATGCTTTTACTATACAAACCAATGATAAACAACAAAGAATCACCAGAAAAATCCAGGATTTATCTCTAAAATTCAATCCCATTTTCTTTAGATATTTTCAGGAAAAAGAAGATTCTGTTAAAAGGATATTTTGGGTTTGGATTAAATGATTGTTTTGGAGTTGCATATATATAAGGGAGAGAAAGAGAGAGGGTGATACATATAAGCTTGATGTATGTATAGATTTAATGGAGTGTATATCTTTTATCTATTCTGAGAAGAATGGATTTAGAGATAGAAGAGACTCTTCTAATCTCTTTGCTTTGTGCGGGTGACTTTGAAACGTCACAACATACTATTTTGATTTTTTTTTCTTTTGAGTAATTTTTTTCATTTTCCTCCACCTTTTTTTTTTTTTTTTTTGTGTTATTGACTAGGTAGTTTACCCATGAGATCAGTGGGGGTTTAACGATATTTGAAAATTTTGTTTCTGAAAATACTAATTTTCAAAAGTAGTAACAAATCAAATATTCTAGAGAGTAGTAATTTATGCGAAAGTGGGTTAAAAATAATCATGAAAATTGGAAATAAAAACATTATGAAAAGATTTCATTTGGATGATTTTTTTTTTTTTGTCAACAGCTTTATTGGATTGGCTCAAATTAGCCAATGTGTAGGAATATTGTTTACATAAGTTGAAAATTAGAAATTTTCAGTTATAAAGAAACGAATCAAGAGTAATAAGTATGTGATAAAAAGAAAAAATAAATAGATTCTTATTATTGAAAATTAATTGTTTAAGTATGTTTTAAAGCTATTCTTGACAAGAAAGGAAAACAAAACAAAAAATAAAAATTGAATATAATAGAACTTGTATGTATAAACTAAGTTGCAAGCAAAAAAATTGTGTTAACTTCATTTTGAATCATATTTAATGTTTGGAGGAGTACAAAACGAAGTTTCTTTTCCTTTGTAAACAAAAAGCCATTGTGTATGGACATACTTTCTTATGTTGAAATTTTGGTCATAATGTAAGATTGTAGTATTGTGATGAGATTTTATTAGTTCACATCTTTGGTTTCGTCTTGACTCTGAGAACGAAAGTCAAGTTGCCGCATTCATGACGTAATTAAAGCTCCACCTTCCACCGGACTTGTGCCTATAGAAGTAGAAAGACTCAAAGACATATGCGCCTCTAATTACCAGTAAATAATAAAGTGTTAATTCTTACCAAATTTTATAAAGAACCAAGAAATCTGAGCTGAAATCTAAACTAATCTCCGGAACTTGTAAAGTGCCATATTATTCTTCACAATAGCTAACTATAATTGAAATCACATGATTTTAACCAAAGTAAGGTTCATTTTGGTTTTTTTTTTTTTAACGTCTGGATTTATTATTAATTGCAAATTATGATAACTGTTACATAGACGATTCTACAACGGACAATTCCACGACAGACGACACCTTCTTCACCTTCTTCTTCATACTCACCTCCTTCTTTATGCTCTTGATGGACACTTTTCCTCTCTGCGTAGAATCCTGGCGAACGGCTATAATTGTACATCGCTGGAGATCTCCTGCACACTTGCCTCTAATAATCTGCAAATTTATTAATAAATCGCAGTATCTGGGACTCGAACCCCAGACCTCTGGGTGTAGAAGCATTAATTAACCCTTGTTCAACCAATGGGCCAAGGGGGCTTCCACGTTCATTTTGGTTTTAGATACATTTTTCGACTTAGATACAATAAGATTTGTTTACCAAGTTTAAACATCTTGAATTTGTAAGGAAAATATGGGTGGGTGAAAATTACATATATACAGTAGTTTGTTTAAACCGGTGTATATAATACAAGGATATGTGAATTTACTAACAACTTTATTTTGATGACTTTTTTAATAACTAGAACGAGAAAAAGGAAGAAATGCACAAAAATGCATTTAATTTTGTAGAGCGTACTAGCTAGTTCATACAGTTAATATAGAAATTTACTAGAAAATATATTCTCTTCGTTTTTATATAATTTTAAACCGGCTTTTTATATTTTTAGTATCTTAAACCAAACTTTGGAATTATTCAAAAGAATAATAAAAAACAAATGTCGTATGTGTTAACAAACGGTAGCTTGAAAACTAAGTTATATCTTGCTTTTTAAATAAAGTATAAGGCTAATAATGTAAGTCATGCATCTCAGATTTTCCATGCATCTATCGCTAAAAAAAAATTAATAATCAGAATCGGTTGACTCTTTTTGTTGCTTTCTGATAATTGAGATGGCTGTCTCAAATCTTGTTACCAGTGGGTTAATACTTAATATAGCATTCATCAGGTTTTTCATTCTACTTTACAATACTGCCAATCAAGTCCGCATGTCCGTAGTCGAGTGGTTAGTGGGATATAGGAATGTGCTACAATACTCCTCGGGGTTTAAGTCTCCCTCAGAACAAAAATCAGTGAAAGTTTGGGTTTAGGCTTCGACCCATACAGTTTACCTGATAGTTTCGGTAGTAGGTGATTCGGTTACTCCAAACATTAGTCTGAAACTGTTTCAAATTTGATATAGACAATATGATGGTCATTCAAAGAGAAATCCACTATATAACGTTTTGGTGCGTTTCTATTAAAATTGACCGGATCAGTCAATAGAATTTTGTCAAAAAATAAAAAAATACAGCAATCAAATATATTGAAAGAAAATATAACCCTTAACAAAGATGTCCCAAAATAATGAATCTTGTGAGAGTTTTTAAAATATATCCGAAAACGTGTTGTATTGTATTCATTGATAGTATATGATTTCTGTTTTATCCGACACATTTATACGATCATTTCACGTTATGTTTTAAATCGGAACCCACAATAACTACAGTTTGATTTCTGACAGAAACCAAACCTCCGTGCGTGTAATGTGTGTGAAAGCCTTTACTACTTTTAATTTATAACCTCTCAAGCCTCTTTGATTCGATCCTCATTATTATCCGTATGGATAATTGTCTTTCATTCAGTTATTACGCCAAGTAGATTAGTTAGCCACGTCACGCAACAATGTTTCGTCCTAGTGGGTCACAAGTTGGTTCTGTTTACTCTTTATTTTTTTTTCTATTAATATATGGGTTACTATTTTTTTTTTTTTAATCTAATGGGTTACCTAAATTAGATAAATGTGTATAAATGGGCGACCCCAAATGTCGAGGTCTATTTCAATTTCAACGTGAAAAGAAATATATATATATATTCAACTTCAATTTGCGTCATCGAATATTCAATCTTCGATGTCATAATCAACCACCAAATCTTATAACGATGAACTACGATGTTTATCTACAAATTACTCGAATAGAAGTTTAAACTTTTTTTTGTTATAAAATGATAGTTACGTAACTAACTCGACCACGAAACCAATATACATTTATCCCCGATTTTTGTGAAAGGAAATTTTCATTTCTGGCTTCCATTTTCAGATATTCAGGCTATACTTATACGTCAATGGTCTTAATCACATATTTAATTTTCTATAGTATTTCACAATATTTTGTGAAAATAATAGTAAAAATTATAACATGTTAATACTTTTCAAGTATTAGGAGGCTAATTTTATTGTTTTAACGTTGTTAAATTTGAGCTCGAATCTTGTTTGAAGATCATTTACGTTTTATAAAATTAGCACAACTTTTCAAATATTGGTTGTAAACTAGAAAGGTTTTATATAGGATTGTGTAGTATAGTGATAATTGGTGATTAATTATCATTTCAAGTAAAGCATATATCGAATGCGTGTGCGCTGAAATTATATGAGATTCCATGTTATCCGTTTTAGGATAGAAAATTTTATATTGAAGGTTACTGTGTGACAGTATGCTGATTAATGTAACATACCATATAAAAATGATTTCATTTTATGATAGTGATAAAAATGTCGTTGTCCCAAAAACAATATTAAAATATTTTATAAAGTCACATTTTAAGTCGCATATTGCATGGTGTCTCTTTCAGCTGGCGGCTGTGGATAACCACTTTCCCTTGTTATATTATTCAATTAATTGTCCCGTTAAGATAAATAAACTAAGGATTTGATTAAATGGTTGCAATAGTTTGGACATAGTTAGGACGAATTTTGCAGTTCGAACTATTTTTTATTAGTATTTATAAACAATAATTTGTATTAGTGTAGATTGAAAAAAATAGAACAAGTTTGCGGCGAACTAATTACGGACCACTTTTACGTATAAATAAACTTGCTCCGTAACGGTTTATTGTCTGCTCTAAAAATAAAATGGTCTAATCCATTAACTTTTTAGTCCGCTTTGTTCACAATATTCATTCAAAGCTTAACTAGTTAGAATAATTTTATCTTAACAAATTGAGTGGTTTCATATTTAATTTGTTAAGCAGAGACATAAGTCTTTTAACGTGTACATAATGTTTGACAATCATTGATTGTTGTCAGGTTATTAATATGTAAGTTTCAACTAATTCGTTTCTTCGGTCACTAAACTTGTCTCAATATAATTATTCAAATAGATAATTATGAAAGTGATATTCTGTTATCACACACACATCAATGCATGGGTGATGTGTCTTGTTAATGGAAAATGCAAGTATAATACGTTCATAGTAGTTAAATCAGAAAAAATAAGATATTTGTTTAGCTTTAGAAATGGACCATCATAATAATCATGGTCTTATTTTGCAAGGTAACTTAAAGGCGAATAAATTATACCCGACTAATATTTGTCCATTGCTATATTTCTCCTTATAAACTTTTAAATTGTTAGCTCATAAAGTCTTGGGCTTTAAGGAAAATACTTCCTCTGTTCCTTAAAGTTTGATGTTGTAGTGTTTTGAGTTTGTTCCACAAAGATTGATTTTCTAGATTTTTATTTTATTTTTAATTAATTGATTTTACTAAATCGTAGATTTCAAGACGTAATGATTAACTGTTTCAGATTACTATTGGTTTATAGTTTATTAAAAAATATTTAATAAAAATAAATAATTAAACAATAATTGTTTCTTAAAAAATGTGAAATCTCTAGAAAATCAATCTTTTAGGAACAGAAGGAGTATATAAGACTCAAAATTCAAAAAGTATTGTGCTTTTAGGTAGTTGGATCGGTTAATTGCGCCAAACACGTATATACCACAGAGCCAATGGTGGTTCATGACCACATCCACCGTCCAACTATGGCTCAACAACATCGCTCAATTTTTTTGCTTTAACCACACGCACCTAAAGTTACCTAACCCATTACGCAGCTCCGATCCATCTCTCTTTCTTACATGATTTTATTTTCATTTCCGTTTTTAGATATATATTTTTG